ACCCGTCGGCATGATAACTGGACGATGGTCTCAACTACACCCACGACCGAAGTCTTTTAAGTTGCCGATAGATGAAACTGCGAGGGAATCTTACACGTTCTCGGACTCTACCCCATGAAGTACAGCGTTTAATTCCTCGCAACATACACTGACCTTGTCATTGTCCAGGCTATATTGGCGAGTTCGAGGAGCTTGACGACCATCGCTCCGGCAAGATTGTCGTCCAGCTGAACGGCCGCCTCAACAAGACTGGTGTCATCTCCCCCAGGTACAACGTCCGCCTGTCGGACCTCGAGAAGTGGGTCGTCAAGCTGCTGCCCGCCCGTCAGTTCGGCTACATCATCCTCACCACCTCGGCTGGCATCATGGACCACGAGGAGGCCAGGCGCAAGCACGTCTCGGGCAAGATCATTGGCTTCTTCTACTAGGCTGGCTGGTTTGGGTTGGGCATGGTTCGGCGTTCGGGGGTTCATGGGTCATGAGATGTCACGGTCACTAAAAGTGAGGAATAACCACGAGAAAAAGCACTCGACGACTTAAAAGAGTTGAACCCTTGCCCTATATTTGTTGTCAACTGCCGTATAGTGATGCATGTGTGTTTACGGCGGGGTGCTCAGACGTCCTTGGAACCTGGAGGCGGTGAGCTAGTCGAAACTTTGGAGATAGGTACAACTCGAGCGGTAGCGTGCTTGTCCACACAATATCCATTGTCCGCACGTTATGCGTTCTGCTTCTCTCGGGGGTACTTGGTATCGAAGGAATGGATGTCAGGTCTTGTTCCTTGTTTTTCTGTTATTGTTGTACCCAACAGTGCCAACCAATGCGTACGAATGCCAGCACTAGGTGGAGTATTCTCACCTCCTTTTCCTTGTTTGACTTTTCTTTTTTTCTTCTCCTATTTCACCTATGTACTATGAAATGGCTATTACACAGACTGGTTTGCACGCGGCACCAGAACAGGCGCAATATCATTGATGCCCCACGAGACCTCCTTGGAGAGACGGCCCGACCCGACTCCCCTCTCCTACTCCGCCCAGCCAAAGACCTCTGCGACGGCGAGCGAGTTGCAGCGGAAGGCGACGAGCGTCACGGCGACGGCGGCGATGTCCACCAACAGCAGCACGGCGGCGCCCATCATGAAGCGGGGGCAAAAGACGCGGAACAGCATCAGGTGGCGGCGCAGATGGGCGGCCCAGGCCATGGTGGCGACAGACTGAACGGCAAAGTAGGCGACGAAGACAGCGGCGGCGCGGGCGCTCAGGCGGGCCAGCAGGCCGCGGCCCTTGGGGCCGACCTTCCAGACCACCAGGAGCGGCAGGGCGGCGGCGGCGAGGAAGTGCGGGGCAAAGGTGTTGAGCGCCACCAGGAGCGGGCTCCAGGGGTAGCGGATGGAGAAGAGGGGCACGAAGGCGGCGTCCCACTGGATGCTGCTGAGGGCCGCCTGGTGGCCCGTCTTGAAGAAGTGGAAGCTCGCGAGGAGGGCCAGCACCGTCGGGCCCGCGGCGCTCGAGCCGGGGCCCAGGCTGATGAGGTCGAGCAGCTCGACGAGCGACAGGAGCTGCCACAGCATGAGCGCGAGCGCGCCCTGCCCGACCGGCTTGGTCAGGAGCAGGAGCGCGGCGAGCATGTTGATGGGCAGGAGCAGGTACCGGGCGCCGTGGGCGTTGCCGTAGCCCAGTACCGTGATCTGGGCCCGCCCGGGCGACCTGGGGTCCGCCGACGTGAGGATAGAGACGCAGGGCGGGGCCCAGATGAAGGCGGTCGACCCGGCCACGACTGCGACGGCGAGCGTCAGCTGCGCCAGGTAGACGGACAGGGCCTTGAGGGTGCCCTCGGGCAGGCCGGCCGACGCGGGCAGCCAGCCGCCATTGTCCGCGGCGTCCAGCGTCCAGTAAAGGCAAATCATGAAAAGCGTAGTGCGGAAGATGTAACCGATCCAGGTGGGCGCAAGCCCCTCGTACGATCGCGACGGAACCATGTAGCCCTTGATGACGCTAGGCAGAGCCAGGCAGACGATTACCGGGATCGCCAACTGCCACGGTGCCGACGTCGACGAGGTAGCAGACGCGTAGTACGTCGAGGTGCAGTACGGCATTTGCTCCTCGCGACAGAGCTTGGAGAGCGAAGCCAGGCGGCCGAGGACGACAAAGATCACGGCGTGGTACACACCAAGGGTGCGCTCTGTGAGCCCGGGCAGGCGCATGGCCGAGATGCCCGCGGCCAAGCCGAAGGTGGCCAGGAAGAAGAGGGTGATGGAGTCCTCCCAGATGGTGTACGAGTTGGACGCAAACCCAATCGACTGGCTGACCACAACAATGACCGAGTACCATCCCCAGAAGGACGTCGGCAGCAGTCCGGTTAGGGTCTTCTTTCCAATCCCGAAGAGAGCCGCAATGACTGCAACAATGCTCGTCGCAGCAGCGGCCCCAACGGCCATCTGCCAGGTCGCCACCTCGAGATAAAACAGAGCCGTGAGGCCCGGCACAGCACCTGGAACAGCACCGACCAAGGCGGCCAGGAAAAGCTTGCGTTCGAGCACGCTTTTAGAGGCCGCGTCTGCCTCGGTGTCCCCGAACCCTTCGAGCTCCAGCTTGCGCTCTGCAAGGTCCAGCTCGGGGTTTTCCACGGCGGTTCCGTCATCCCCATCTTCGTCGCTGCCACGACTGATGTAGAGAAGGAGAGCGAGCAGCCCGAGGACCATGTTCGTTATACCGATGACCATGCTGGGAATGTCGAACCGAGCCCACAGGTCTTTGCAAACAGCCAGCGTCTCGGCTTGATACTGTGAGTAGATGCCATAGGCGCGGCGGAGAAGGTCGCTTTTGGAGCCGGCCGTGGCGGCGGCCTCCTCGGCTTGGGACCAGGTCTCGGCAGCCGACCCGGTACCGGCCTGAGGCTCCAGGCCCCGGGCAGCAAAGTAGGACGACAGGTACCGCCGAATGCCCGCAGCTGCCACCCGCGACACGGCGGCAAGGTTTTCAAACGCATCCCCCCGCTTGCCGGCAAATGCCTCCTCGATGGGCTGCCCGAGGTTGTTGTAGGGGATCGGGATGCCCAGAAGCAATGCCAGAGTCGGCACCAGGTCTATCTGATTCACAGGGCGGACCTTTGCGGTTGGAGGCGGCGCCAGATGCGATGGGTCCGTGCGGCCAAAAACAGGCCTGGAGGAGTACATCCACAGCGCGGCCTCGACCTCATCGTCGCTCTCGCCGCCGTGGTCGCCCTTGCCGTCCATCCCGTGGTCACCCATGACGACGAGCAGGGTGTCGTCGTCGATGGTGGCCGTCAGGTTCCTGACAAAGTCGTCCATCTGTCGCAGCTTCGCCGTCATGGCAGGGTGAGCTGGTCCGTAGCGGTGGCCGGCATGATCGACACCCAAAAGATGGCCAAACAAAACATCCCAGTCGCCCTTGCGATCAGGGCGCATCAGCGGGAATATGTGCTCAATCACACCCTCATCAACAGTGTGGAGATCCCAGACGTTGAAGCTGTCATATGCGCGGCTGATGTTGGGCTCGAAGTAGCCAGGGAAAAGCGAGGTCCAAGTATCGTCGCCGAGATGCACCATCTTGCGGCCCGCGCTGCGTAGCTGCGACAGCAGGTTATCCTCCTCTATGGCTGTGCCAGCAAAATTGCTACCCAGGTCGACGAAGGTGGGCAGCGTGCCGGTGGTAAGGCCCTTGAGCCGTTGGAGCGTCGAGGTGGGCGGATCTGCGATGAAGGGGCGCAGGAAGGCGTTGCTGGGGCGCTCGAGGGCGGTCTTGTGCAGGAAGGGCAGGGCGTTGTGAAACTCGGCCGCGTCGTCGACCGGGACGGTGAAGTCGTAGCGCAGGGCGTCGATGATGACGACGACGGCGCGCGAGAAGGTCCGGGGATGCCAGCAGCCGCCCTGGACCGTCCCGCGCCCGGCCCAGTCCTTTAAAGGTGCCCCCTGGTCGGGGCCGCGGACCTCGAGGACGGCGGTCGGCGGCTCGGCGCAGCTCGACTTCTCGTCAAGCACAAGGCGCGTCAGCAGGAAGCCAGAGGTGAACACCAGGATGCCGGTGGCGTGGATGCACAGGACCCAGACCCAGAAGCCGACGGTCCAGAGCCAGAGCGACTCGAAGCGGGCCTTGCGGCGCGCCTCGAGGGCGTCGCGCTGCTGCTGTTGCTGCTTCTGTATCACGCCCGCCCTGGCCCTTGCGTCCAGCTCCTCCGCTGAGGGGACCACGACGGCGCCATCGGGACCCGAAGCCGCGGCACGGGCCTTGGCCTCTTCCGCCTCCTTTGCCCGTTTTGCCGCGGCGAACTGGGCAGCGATCGTCTTGTAGTCGAGTGTTTCAGCGGCGTTCTTTCCCGCTGCGGAGCGGCTCTTCGTCTTCACGCCAGGCGACGCCGCCGTGGCGGGGGCCATTGAGTTTTAGGGAATGCAGGGGAGGGTCGGTGGGAGCAAAGGGCGATGCACTCCAACAAATGAACAAAGAAGAGAAGGGGATAACAAAAGAAAGTCTAGTTGTTGCGCGATGCTCCGTATCCCAATGCCATTATATCCAAAAGTATGCGCGAGAAGATGTAAACAAAAATCAACCCCGCGAAGCGCCCAGCATGGATGGCAAGGACAGATACGACAAAGTTGGCAGTTGTGGTTTTTTTTTTTTTTTTTGGGTTTTTTTTGGGACGGGCCAGAGAGGTGGTCTCAATGACGAGGAACGCCCCAGTAAAACGCGAAAGCTGCGTCGCTAGGCTCTTCCACCCTGTCGTTGCTGCACCGTCAGAAAATGGCTCCGACATTCAATCATTCAATCATACGTTCATTTCCGACATCATAAAAGGTAATAGGTACCGAGGTACCTAGTAGCCACCTCAACAAATTATCGAGGCGGAGGGCTCCATTACAAGATAAACCTGGTAGTGTCCATATCATGGACTTTTGGGAGCTCTCCCACTAGTAGAGAGGCTTGCCCACAACCCAGCTTGGACCCTGAGGTGTCTTGTTACCAACCAAACTCATACACCAAGTAGAAATGCATTGAAGACAAGACATAATATGAACATGGATTAACAGTTCCACCTGCAGAGTTTATTTGTACTTATACAGCATTAGAAGTTACAAAGGTATGCCACAAGCTTCCAACTCCACGATGGGGCAAGGTCGAACACCCGTTCGCGTCCCTTCACATCTTCCCACGCGAGACTCCACTCTCCCTTCCCCGGTGCTTCGTATGTGTGATTGTGTCATAAGGTGTGACGGACAGTAGTATATCCAAGTGCCCCGATATGCATATAAGCCAACCAAAGAAGGGGAATACACGGGAGAAGGATTGTTTCTCCCGCGCTTCGGTGGCAGAGTTTTGGTAGTGATAGTAAGATTAGGTTGTAGTCGGATCAGGTAGAGTAAGGTCGCTGATATGGTTTACGCTTCGTCACCCTCCGGTGGTCGCCAAATGAGCCAAGGGACACGGGAGGATGGCGGCCTGCTGGTGAATTAGGTTCTCAGGACAGGCAGGCCGACGCTGTGTTGGTTGTGGTGGGTGTGATTTGTTGGCTCTGAGTGGAATAAAGAAGCAAAATAATCATTATCAGAAAGGCTTTCGGCCCTTAAGATTAACGGAAGTCTTGACGCTCCTTCTCCTTCAGGCCGCCAATCTTCTCAATGTCGATTGAGTAGAACTGCGTAGAGCTCTCCTTCTCGTAGGCAGGCAGCTGCTCCTCCCGCAGGGGCTCCATGCCGATTCCGGTCTCGCCAACGCGCACGACAACAACACGGCCGCTCTTCCGGCGGCCCTGGTCATCGTGCTCGTCGGGGAAGGTGATGTGAATCTGGGGGACGTTGTCAGGGGAGTGCGGGGGAGACTCGGGGTTCGCAAGCATGGGCTGGCCGTCGCGGAAAACGAGAACGCTATGACAGCCGTCGCCAATGGACTGTGTCTGGATTGTCAGGCCACGGGTGTTGGGGCCCTTGGGCCCGCGCTTGCCAGCCACGTCGTTGTACTGGGGCAGCATCTCGGCGCGCATACGTTGCTGACGTTTCATGCGGCGGAGGAGAAAGAGGACCGCGATCATCAGCGAGGCAATGAAGCTGAGGCCAAAAAGGGCGATGAGCAGGTTGACAACGGACTCATTGGAGTCGCGGGCGAGTTCGCTGCGGCCAACAATGTGGCTCTGCGCGGTGTAGATGTTGTCCATGGAATGCATCGTGTCGTGTAGGGTGTCGTCTTTGTTCAACAGGAAAGCGAGCGTGTATCAGCTAATAAGCTGGTCTGTATCTTCGTATCACTATTCGGTGTTGGTAATATCCGCGATGCCGGGAAGGCCGAGGATATTGATACTGAGGTTGTGTCAGCGTTGTTGTCTTCGGCGGAAGACCTGGTTCATAGAGCGTGTTGAGTTGCCGAGAGACAGGCCAAACACCTAGCAGGCACACGCCCGCTTGCAATGTTTACACTCAGACAACAGGGCATCCCGGGCCGCATTGCGAAATGACGGCACCAGAATCCTCCTCGATGAGGAATTCAGAGTCGACATACCGGTCAAAAGGGAGAAACACTCCAAGTTGAAAAAGCTGAACCGCGTCGGGAGGCTTTGGCACCTTCTAGGGCAGGAATTAGACGGATGCGGATGTGCAAACTGGGAGAGTGACCGAGGAACAATAAAACGAAAGAAACAGAAAAGATTGGACGGGAACAACTAAAAGAGTGAAGTTGAACCCAAGGGTGGCACTTTGTTGAGAGAAAGAGCGTAAGGGGGCCTGTTGAAGAAGCAAAGGCGGCAGCGGCGACAGCGACGACGACAAAGGAGGAGGAAAGGGAGCGAAGAAGGAGAGGAGCGAAGGCGCGGGCAGATGTAGCACCCCAGGGGCGCCGAGCAGGATGCTGAAGAAATTACACGGGCTCCCTGATTGGCCGTGCCGTAGCTCGCCATTCATCCATGGGTAAGCTGGGCCAGGGGGCCTGGCAAGGGTTGGCTACCGGTGATTTGTCCATTCAGATCGAGATATGGGGCGACAGACGCTAATCTCACGGTTGGCCAATAAACAGGCTGTGGTACCTGGCCGCAATGTGGGGATATATTTGGTACCCTGACATCGATGGTGGGGGAATGGACGGTTCCTGAGCTCTCCTGGTCCAGAGCCGCCGAGGTCGTTCGCTTAGCACAACCGTGCTGCCCGGGGCACTGCCCGCGCAGCGCCCGCCCTGGTCAGTCCATGCCTTTATCACCGACCATTGTGGCGCCCGTTTTCTGTCAGCACACGACTGGGCGGTAGTTCTGTGTTTGTGGCATTGGACTCTGAGCACCAACAAGCCGCCGAGTCGATTCGCCCGCCACGCTCGTCACACCCGGACCTTCTGTTGTCTGTTTTTCTTTTCTTCACCATCCCTGGTCATCCCCCGATCTGCATTGAGCAGCTCCCATCTACTGATCTCGACAAATCCAACCACCCAGTGGAGGTTGGTGATAGACACGAATGGTGGCCGAACGGCTACTGTCGTGGCGAACCCCATAAATCAATACATGTGCCACCTCGCAGTCCTCATGTCCCCTGCCAGACAAGCCCCTTCTGCCCAGCAGGAAGCACGTGTTTGTCGATCCGCTCCGCTAAGGCGCAAAAATTCCTTATCTATGTAGAATGAATCGCCCATCAAACTATCTGACAGCCGTCTAAATCGCCTGCTTCGACGATGGTTCTTCGGTCCATCGCTCCGCGACCCGCTCGTCATGTTAAAGACATGTATGATTAAAACAGATCTTCCGGAGACAATCTGGAGAGGCGGGGTTGCAGACGGGTGCGGACAATTCGTTTCAGTCTGACTCAATGTCAAATCGCTACGACGCTGTGTCATATGACCGACCTTGCGTGGGGTCACCCAAGCACTTGATTGCATGCGTCGGCCTCCGTTGTGCACAAGGAAGCACTCGCGGCAGCTATCGCGATCACTCTGTCGCTACCTGGATGTGGAAGCAAGGCCGCCCTTGGCCGTCGGCTGTAGGGACCACCAATCCGTGGATTGCAGCTGCTTGGCTCAGGGGCTCTCTGCAAGTCATGTCCCGGCGGAGCGACGGCGGCCGCGTCAAGGGCTAGCTGCAAAGGGGAGGGCGGAAACCATGTGGTTAGCCTTACATATGTGGTTAGCCTTACATATGTGCGTCAGCAGGAAGGGAACTCCTCCCTAGGGATTGGGCGCATGCAAGCTCTTCCACAGCAAAGGCAGCACACGGTAACTGGTCAGTGGCGCCCGTCTGTGGGATCGAGCCAAGCATTTCCCTAGCAAAACACCCGTGCCCCCTCCCTAGTGCTAAAATGTCCCATGGCTTCGTTGACATGGCGCCCTCAGCTTCGTCTCCCTCGTCTTGAAACTGAGCACTCCGTTCGGACGTGCCCTGTCAGGGAGAGAGGGTCTTGACGGGCCGAGCATCTTACATGGATGCGAATTTCCTCCCGTTATTGCGAGTCTAGAAAGTCATCCTGGAAGGGCATCCTTCCGCTTCACCACGCCGCATTAAGGCTTGCCCCACATCCCACGAACCGAGATGGCGATTGGTCAGGATCGAGGTCTTTCCGACATTAAACACGCGCATTTCTCCTAATATCTACAGGAGTCTAGGATATTAAATGTTAAAGTGTGGAGCCCTTCAGGGATCTCCAACTACTCTTTTTCCCACAGAAAATCCTGCCAAATCAATGTATCGCAGACCCCCCTGGAGGGCCCCACACTTTAACATTTAATATCCCCATCTCCTGTATGCTGGTGGATTGAGAGCTATGATTATGATTACCTGCTGGAATCGCGGACGGCGTGGGTATAATGTGGTGCTTCTAAAGCCATTGGGGTATATGTTGGGTGCACACCGAGGTCGTGTTCACGCATCAATGAGTCGCTGCTGTATCTCCTCTCCCTGCGAATGGATCAACAAAGGGCCCAGCGCAATCTGCAGATGTGCTGTTTTTTTTTTTTTTCATCCTCCCTCGGGTCATTGGAATCGCATCAGGTTTTTTATTCCATGCCCTACATTCGTCCCCAGAGTAGACCATTCTCCCCGCCTGAGACATCGATGCTCGTGCTGGTCCGCCTTTCCGAACAAGGTAGATGTTGTTAGACATGGCTCATGGTGTTGACTGTTGTGTTGTTTCGCTCGGTTACTGGAATGCGGAGAATACCCGCGGGCAGGATCAAAAGGGAGAGCAACGAAGAAAAAGAAAGAAAGAAAGAAAGAAAGGAATAGCCAACAGATACTACCGATAGGTTGTTGGCCTTGGTACATTTGTTAGTGTTCAAAGTCTAACTTTGACTTGTTTGTTGGTGGTTCCATGTGCCCCACCCACGCACTCGGCACTCAAGCGTCGTCAACGTCAAGAGACAAAGGCTCGACATTGGTGAAGCATGATCCATGTGGCGAAACATCCGCGGCCCTGAAAGCACATTCTCCCTACTTACCTACCTACTCAAGATACTTGCGCCACATTGAGTGAGTAACGTCGGTCTACAGGCGCCGAGGTTCAAGGGGGTGGGCTAGAAAGAAGATGAGGGAGGGGAGGAAGGATTGGGCACATTCCGACAGCTCGATAGGCACGTTGTCTGGGCAAGTAATCGAGATGATGAACGAGAGGCAAAAAGCCCTGAGCACCCATCAGTTGCTGCATTCCGGAAGACTTACCCAGGCGTTGGAAAGCTGCATGCCAACGTCGTTTGTTTTCGCTCTCTCTGCCCTGCGCAGATCGCCATGTTAGATGATGAGGCCTAGACACTGACGGGTCTACTGCCGAGAACCTGACCCACGTAAGCCCTCCGATGAGGCCGGTCGGTAGCTGCAAAGCGGGCAGCGACAATGGCCTCCCTCCCTACCTTGACCTGTTGAGTTATTATGGGGCCCAGCATGGTCATTTGCGGCGGGAGTGCGGTCGGGCCAAGTCCGCACGGCTGGCCAGGGAGTGAGGGAGGGCATCAATGGTGCGAGCTGGTGTCAGCAAACATCTATCACAGCTCACAGCATGATGGGATACTGAGAGGTCTAGGTAGGCAGGGAGGTGCATTTCGGGCTACCCAGGTACGCTGGGCTTTCCCAGTGGATGGCGTAGGCTGTCCGGGCGTCGAGACCACCGCATTTCCACTACATGCCACATCCAACTGCAAGCGTACCGTGCCCGCTTGCCTCGATCTTGATAGCCCTCCCTTACACCTGCGCTACCTTCTTTGGCCCTTGATTGTCTAATGAGGCAGCAGGGGGGTTTGTGCTATGTAGCGCACGCAACAGACGCTGCAAGGCCACTTTGCCGACTGCCTGGGCACGCTCGTCTGGAGCCTGAGTACCGATCCAATCCATCCTATGAGACTCCAGTGTATGTCTTTGCTTATATCAACCCCGTCGCCCATCCATCTATCTTGCCCTTCTTGCCCCGATTGCGAGGAGAGTGTCGCCAGACAGCCCCGCTTAGTACACGGGAATTACGGAAAACAGAAGAAGAACAAAAATAAGGGGAAGAATACGAACTCCTTCGAGGTATGTCAAGAGAGGAACCCTGCCCGGCGGCCCCAAGCAGTGGTCTTTGCTTTGATGCCTCGATGGGGCTCCGCGGATAACAACAAGGGCTCGAAAAGCCGACTAATGCGTGGTAGCACAGCCGAGAACCGTCACCGGTGCGCGTCGCCTATCGGATCCAGGAGGCAGGGCGAACGGCAGTAAATCCCAGCCAGCAGCCGCCCAGGGCAAACATTTGATATTGGAGGCAAACCCCAACAGAGGCGACACCCGCCCCCCCCCCCCCCCCCCGACGATTCAAAACGACGGCCTCTCCTGGGACTCTGACCTGTGTGCCCGCCCGCCAAAGGCTGGATTCTTCTGCTGCCTTCTTCTCGTGTCACTCAACCGGCCTGATTGCCTGCTCACTTCGCGCCGCACTCTTTGCCCGGCCCCAGCTTCTGGTTGGTTTGCGCATTTTCGCCCGGCCCCAGCCCCAGCCCGTCTGACCGGCCTTGCTGGTTTCGCTGCAACCCCTCCAGGCCGCGCCCACGCGGGTGCGCGCGAGCTAGCGAGCTAGCGAGCGGCCAAGGGTGATTTTTCTTTTTTCTGCCTAGACATCGTCCCTCGAGTCTAGCCCGTTCTTTGCTGCTGGTGAGTTGGCCTTTCATCCCCTTTCTTCCCTTGTTCCACTCTCCTGCCTGCCCTTGACGAAGCACACGCGCCTGCATGCAGCCAAGACAAGGCAGCCAACCGACTGACGGCATGTCGTGTTGTGCTCTCGGCCAGCAGAGAGGTCTGCGGCTGGCACAAAGAGATCGAAGGACTCCGCGCCAGGTACCCACACCCACAAACCACCCGTTCTGTCTAGCGCAGGCTCGCGAGCAAAGGGCAACGCACGCTACCTCGAGGTGGTACCCGACCAGTCGACATTCGGGTCTTGGTGCCCCTCCCCACCCAGCCAACAACTCCAGGGTGCGGGAGCGAAAAGGCCCAGCCAGCCCAGCCACCCAGCCAGAACGAGCCCATCCACCCATCGGCAGCGTTTCCGTTCCACTGGCGCAACACGAAAGCAGCATTGTCCCCATACCTTGCATCCCTTTGGGTGCACATATCAGCAGCTTTCAAAGGTATAACCCCCTCCATCAGCAGCAGCTCTGGTCTAGGCCGGCGCCCATGACATACCTATCCCGAACCCTGGTGCCCTCCACCCCTGCTTCCCGCCCGGCCCCAACATTGGCGTCTGCTTTTTCGCACTCGTCGCTTTACCCAAGACTCGGCTTGATCTCACATCGAGAAATCTTAAACACTGGGGGTTGAGCGGGGCCAGCTGCCAACACGCTATCACAGCTTGACACCAACATTGAACTTATTGTTGCTGAAGCTTGGGAATTGGCGCGTCTGTCCAGAACTCTGATCCCGCGCGACCACGACCGTGCCAGCCAGCTGTAAGCGCCGCACTGATCGATCCTCTCACAGGATCCTCCCACAGTAACCTGGTCTGGCACGCTTTCGACATTTTCCTCTGCTTCCCCCAGCTATCACCCCTGGTCGCCCACGCCCGGTGGTCTTTGGCCACACGAGGCAAGCAACCATCTGCCCACTGTCTGCAGTGCGACTGTCGGTAGTGGATCAAACATTCCACCTTTACTCACGCCCACGCCCACACCCACACCTACGCCCACGCACACCCCGAGCCTGCCCAACAAAGCCTTTTCCAGGCAACTCCAACTGCCCTAGTGCCGCTATCGCCGCCGCCTCTTGCTCCAACCTCACGGCCATCCATCTTATCGGTGACATTTTTTTTCCCTACGCTCCCGCTCCCGAGCTTGACGCGACGCGAAATCCGAGCACTAGGCGACGTCAACGCATGGTCTTGCTGTGCTTGGCTTTCCGTGACAGGGCCGCACTCAAAAGCGCAACTCTCTGGGAAGGCTGTGTGCGCTAGATAGGGGGCCGTGTGGTGCGCATCAAAGCCTGGAGTTTGGTTTTCCAGTTGGCACCTCGGCGCCGGCGTCATAGCAAGTAAGTGCCATTCCACTTCTCCAAATCTACTTTTTTTTTTTTCCAGGCGGCGGGATCCGGCCCCCTCCCGTTCGCGTGCCGTCCGTTGTTTGAATCCTTGCATTTCGTATTTTCTGGGACAATCTGCTGGCATGAATGGTCGAGTCGTCTCCTCGCTCGTCAGGGGTGACTGCGGCGCTCGCCCCGCACCTGGATGCTGGGCCATCAGCCTTACAAAATACAGCTGAACCTGTTCTTGCTGGCCGCCCGTAGAGCTCTGGCTCGCACCACACGACCCACGGCCAGCCCGGCCAGCCCAGCCCAGTCAGGGCCACCACACCACCAGACCCCCATCCCCATCCCCATCCCCATGCCAGACCTCCGCACTGCTGCCAGTACCACCCAGCAACCCCCGATGCACAGCTGCAACGTGCGACTTTCCCGCATCCTTGGATGAATGCGTGTACCAAAAGCATCAGATCGCCTATTTTTTTTCTCTAGTTTTTTCTTTTTCTGTTTTTCTTATCTGTCTGCCTTCCCTTCACCTCCGAGTTTTTGGATCGAACCCAGCCGCTGCAAGACCAAAATAGCCTTGCTGACAGTCGCTGTTCCCATTTTCCCCTTCCTTGCACATTCTTTTTGCGCAGCGCTACACCTTCGATGCAGTTCTTCACACCTGCCCGTTCGCCGTTTTAACATTCTGCCGACCAGACGAAACCCAACCGCGCATGCGCCTGCTTCTTTCCGGCCTGATCCTCGAGTGATTGCATCCATTTTTGCTTGCATGCTACCGCCTGCACACAAACCGCACACCCTGTTCGAATCCGAGCGCGAACCTGTCGACGCACGCCTGCACCCGCCGCCCCGTGCTTGACAACGACGGCGCCCTGCTCATCCCAACTCTCCGCCTGAGCTTTCCATCCCTCGATGACCTCGGGCAACTCACACAACCCATCCGCCACAATGGCCACCACAGTGAGTCTGCCCTCTTGTCTGCAGTCCGGCTGGCAGGACACATCGCCGTACTGGGTATCCGTCGCTGTGCGCTGTGCGCTGTGTGCTGTGTGCTGACTATCCCCTCGCTGTTTCTCCCCTCAGAGCCGGCCGAGCCGATTTAATACCTTCGCCATGCCGAACGGAACCGACAAGCCCCCGCAGCCTATTGGCACTTCGTACCAAAACCCACCATGGAAGCAGGGCATCATGGGGACAGAGAGCATATGGGCCAGTAGCGGTGTCATCGGGTCATTTGGGAAGCGAGACACGACGGGTTCGAGAGGTTCGTAGGCAGCCTCGTCGGGAGACAGCTCGAGGCCGAGGGCTGATGGCTAACGAAACCGTACCTGGCAGCACCCGGCGAAAACGCTCCTACAGGTTCCGGCGCGCTCGCTGCATCATCCGAGGCAGAAAGCACATGGGCTACCCGAACGCCCTGGAGCACCAACGATAGTGCCCAGAACAGGGCCTCGGGCAGCACATCACCAAACCGCACACGGGACATGCAGAGCTTCGGCGATCTCTCGGTACACCAGAACTTCATGTCCTCGAGACCCGTCGTGGGACCGGGAGCCAGCTTCAATGCGAACCGGAACAAGCCTGGGGTGAACCTCGACGCATCGACCGGCTCTTTCAAGTATGGCGCTGCGGCTGGGGATACGGGATCAGACAAGGAGAACGCTGGACATTATGCCGCCCTGGGGAGGTATGATGTAATTGACTCCTCGCTGCGGAACATTCAGCGAGACCCGCGGGGCCGACAGGACCTGATGTCTTACATGAGCTCGGGCACTCATTCGAATGGCAGCTTTCCCGCGAAATACGACCTCGACCCCATGCAGCATGCTGCGTACGATGAGCCGTACGGGGCAAACCAGGCGGCCATCATGGGCGCACACCGTCCCTCGGCCCAAGGTTCTGCCACGTTTCCTGCTCAGCCCGGCGGCATGCGGACGACGTACAGCCCAGAGGAGGAGCTGCAGGAAAGGCTGAGGAGAAACTTCAACATTGGTGACGGGACCGACTCGGCCGCATCCCCCTTTCAACCGCAGGCAAGGCCGTTCCAGTTCAATCCCGGGTCCATGCCCTGGGAAGCTGGTGCTGGGGCTGCAGCGCCCTTCAAAGTCAATGGGTCGAACGTTCCATTCTTCACTCCGGAATCTCACATAGAAACCTCTCTGCCTGGCTACCCAAGTGGTAAGCGCGGGAGCATCGCCGACCGCGGCTCGCCTGTCTCGAATCTGAGGTCCGCACTTGCAAGCCCCCGCCACCTGACCGACACCCCACCGGCACCCGTGAACTCCTGGAGCAGGCCGGGGTCTAGGGATCCCAGGAACAGCATGGAGTCAGAACGCCGGGGCTCGGCTAACGCCTACATGCTTCAGGCGCAACAGCTCCAACAGCCTGGCCAGCCGGCATTCTATCCCCCTCAGGCATTCTACCAAACCGGCATCCCCCCATACCAGGCTCAGGCTCCTATGTACGACCCGTACACCCAGACGCAGTTTCGACCACCACTCCCACAGTTTACTGGCCACGCTCTGCCTTTGTATCCTCAGCAGTATCTGCCTCAGGTAGCTCCCCTGGCCCCCCGGCAGCACAAGGACCAGGACGTGACGAACCTGGCACAGAGCCGTCTGCTCAACGAATATCGCTCGAGCAACAAGTCCAGCAAGCGGTATGAGCTCAAGGTGAGCATGATGAGCGGGCTGAAGCGTCCCTCGCGTTCCCCCTTTGCTTGAACAAAATGTGCTGACCTCGCAATTTCTACGCAGGATATTTACAACTACGTGGTTGAGTTCAGTGGCGATCAACAGGGCTCTCGCTTCATCCAGACCAAGCTCGAGTCGGCTAACAGCGACGAGAAGGATCAGGTCTTCAGGGAGATCGAGCCCAATGCAGTGCAGCTGATGAAGGACTTGTTTGGAAACTATGTGATCCAAAAGTTCTTTGAGCACGGCAACCAGGTACATAAGAAGATTCTGGCGGGCCAAATGAAGAACAGGATGGTTGATCTGTCAACCCAGATGTACGCCTGCAGGGTAGTCCAAAAGGTACGCGTGCCCCATGACCCGCCCCGCGGGGGCCCAGGTCCCTTTTTGATGCTGACAACACCTAATGCAGGCCCTCGAACATGTCCTCGTTGAGCAACAAGCAGAGCTAGTCAAGGAGCTCGAGCACCACACTCTGTCCATAATGCAAAACCAGAACGGCAACCATGTGATCCAGAAGATAGTCGAGTTGCTCCCTCGCCAACACATCGGCTTCATATATGAGGCGGTGCGTGGCCACCTCAAGGAGCTGTCAACCCAGACGTACGGGTGTCGTGTCGTCCAACGCATGTTGGAGCAAGGCACCGAAGAAGACACGGTGGTCATGATGGACGAGATTTACGCCTCCATGACAGCGCTGATCACGGACCAGTACGGCAATTACGTGGTGCAGCATATCATCACCAATGGCAGTCCTGCGGACCAGAGGAGGACCATCGATGCGGTCATGGCGCAGGTTGTGCAGTTCTCCAAGCACAAATATGCGTCAAACATTGTCGAGAAGTGCATTGTCCACGGCACGGCCGAGGACCGTACCAAGATATCCGAGATCCTGATCCGGACAGGGGCCGACGGAATCAACCCCATCCATCAACTGATGAAGGACCAGTACGGCAATTACGTCATCCGTAAGTCTACCAAGTACGTCCCGGAGAGACAGTTCGGGCAACCACCGCTAACTCACGACCCGCTCTTAGAAAAACTGGTTGATACTCTGCAGGAGCCCGAAAAGACTAACTTCGTCATGAAGATGAAGCCTCAGTTCAACTCGCTGAAGAAGAACAACAGCGGACGTCAGATTGCTGCCATTGACAAGATAATCTCGTCCGTGTCGCACAGCGAAGCTGGCCCGGACGGAGCAGCCGCATCCTTGCAGGTGGACGTCAGCTCTGCGGCACCGACGCCCGTCCTCACCATGGAGCCAAACACTCCGCAGAGTAGCAGCCCGCCGAGCACCAATGCAGGCGCCAACGACGACATAGTCGATGACACGGGCGCCATAGTTGTCAAGTCTCAGGGATCGGAACCTGCCGAGAAGGGCCCCGAGGTCCGTGTCGACGAGGCATGACCTGCTTAGACACTCGCTCCTTCTCACACATCATATCATCCGCCTCAGAATCATCCCTGTCGAGGCTCACGCCCAAATTCTTCGATACCCGACCGGCACAAAACCTCATGTCGACTGCCCGGGTGCTCTGCGTCACCCGGGAAATATATACCAGACCCTGGTGCTGTTATATCTATACTTCCCCACCGTCATACAACTCTTGCAAACACACTGCGGGAAGCAGTTCCCTCCTCGCAACACACTTTACGAATATCGGTGCATATGTTTGTACATGACCTTCCAACCTAAAGAAGAGGCACTCGGGGCATATTCATTCGGCACAGCCCATCATAGCACACTGTCTGTTTAATTCGGGGCAAGGCGGCGGCCGATGGACCGTACGCCGCACAAACACAGACTCATACACACCTTGTACGGCGTGTGCGTTTCTTATTCTTCACTCCCCGGCCGGCCGCGCTTGCAATTGCATGCTGCTTTGCTGGGTTTCATTTTTGTGGCTTCTTATCCAACTGTATTCTTTTTATTTCCATTTTACAATAGTTGTCTCACCTGGCCTCTCCTTAATCTTCGCTTCCTCTCTTCGAGGAGTGGTGGGCACCCACGCTCCACCAATACTATCTGGATACTCTGTTCGGTTCCTGTTTTGTTTCCATACTTGGGAATCCTGGGGGCTGGATACGCCCGGCCATCTAGCTGTCTTTGGGTTTGTCTTGTTTTCGGGTTTGGGATGAGGCGGGCTGGGGAACAAATTACGGTGCGGGTCTGATATTGAACTGCAGAGTAACTACACCAGGTATCTATGTGCTTTCTGGGGGCTTGCAAAAAAAAAAAAACAGACGACGAGTTTGGATGGATTGCGTTTTCATGTTGGCCTTACCTTCCATCCTCGTCACTCTTGTCTCTTTCTTTTCTTTGCCATTATTACTATTTTGTCACCCATGTCACTACTTGACTCGAGGCGGCGTCTTCTAGAGAGCAGATCGATGCATCGGACAATGAAAACGCGACTATGGAAAAGATCTACCAGCACTTGCTCTTGTCAATCACTTACAAGACCTCGGCATCCCCCCCCCCCCTTTCACATCAACACCTTGGTTTTGTCCGCCTCGAGGAAGACTGTGATGTGGTGATGTGACCGGACGTGCAGGGTAACTCGGGGGAGGGCTCGTCCGCAGAGGAGAAGACGGGGCTGCGGCGCTGCTTGACCTGACAGCCCTCGGGAACGGACCAAGCCAACCCAACCCAAAGCCCTGGGGCTCAGATAGTCGCAAATCATGAAGAACTCGTGGAATTTATTGCAGAGCCTGACATATCATGGCCATTTATCTCTCTGCCGCTGCAGAGAAGTCATCGCCACCCAGCCTCTGCCTCCCTATTTTTAACAGCTGCATCGTTTAATGTGCAGACATGTCCGTATTTCTTTCCCACCTTGCCGTTTCTGCCCTCGTATCTCTCTCTTGCTACTTGTATATCAGGTTGCTCACCCAGGCCACCAGCAGCAACACGGCCACTCGAAGCCTAGGGTCCTGCCGTAAGCCCTTGGCCCTGCCCGCCCCCTGTTGGTCGCCCGGGTGGTCCTTTCGCAGCTGGCCGGGCTGGTGTTCATGCCTGTACCTTGCTGGGCTCGGCTCGCGGAGGCCGGGTAGGCCCGGATCGAGCGTGTCGAGTCTGTAGGAGCGCCCGTCGGCGCCGTCCGAGCCGCTCTCGAGATCGCCGTCGGGAAGAGGGGCCGAATGATTGTCGCCACCGCCGCCGCCGCCGCCAAGCGCCCACCTCCCTAGCGTCTCGGCCGCGGTCCTGGCGCGCCAGCAGACCCAGAGAAAGACCACGGTCACGACGAGCGTCTCCAGCCTCCAGCCCGTCTGGGCAATCCACCCGCCACCACCGCCCCCGCCGCCGTGGGCGCCGGGGCGGACGGGGCCGCCGGCAGGCACGCCGCGCGACCACGCCAGGCCGATGCGGAGCAGGCCGGACCCGTCGCCGGCCAGCCAGACGTGGCGGTGCAGCACGTGCGACTCGAGGGCGACGCGGCCCAGGGCGGCCGGCAGCGCTAGGTGCGCGCGGCGCATGGGCGCGTACGAGCCTCCTCGGAGGAGCGCGTACGTGGCCACGGGGGCGCAGGATATGTAAGGGTGGACGGCGTCGTACAGGGCCCGGTCCTGGAACCAGCCGGAGCTGAGCTGGGTCTCGAGGAAGAACAGCGGAATGTTCAGAAACGCGAGCGCGAGCAGTCCCGGGTATATGGGCGCGAGAGCCTCGTCCGGGAACAGGAACGACGCGAGGGCCCAGTCGACGGTGTTGTTGGAGCCCGCAGCCGCCATGGCTGCCGCCGCCGGGGGTCCGCGCTCCCGGAGTAGTTTCGGCCTCGGCTGGCCGGGGACGGACATGGGGGTCCCGGGCAGGGGTGAGCGGATGTGCGCCTGGGCGACCTGACGCCTCGCATAAGCCAACTTTATGACGTTGGCACGATAGGTCAGCACGGCAAAAAGGAGGCCGAGATGCGGCACAAAGCGGTCCATTGAGAGCTCCCAGAGAACAACATCAGCGTTGTAGATGATGCCGGGCGCCATCGTCGCCAGCACACGGCCGAGAAACCCAAAAGGCGCCCTGGAACTGAACAGCACTGTAGTGAAGAAGGCCGCAGCAAAGACTTTGAGGATGAGGATGCTGGGTGAGCCGTTGAAGCGCCGCCAGCCGATCCGCAAGGTCAACCAGGTGATGAAGAACCAGAAGCTGGCGAGGCGCGGAAAGTGATACAAGGTCCCGTCGGAACCCACCGCCATGGACACGATGAAGGGGAGAGCGTTGAGGCGCCAGACAACGGTGGCAACGCGCCGCAGCGAATAGTCGCAGGTTCGCAGCAGATACATGGCGTGCCCATATGTGCAGATGAACAGATAGGCGGCTGAGATGAGGCGAAAGAGCTTGTACGCCCAAGGCTGGTCCGATAGCTCTTGGAAGGACAGCATAAGCACCAGGGCCTGCATCCAGCCTTTCCATTCGTCCGAAACCTCGCGTGGTAGAAAGACTGTGTTCTCGTTGTATTGCGGAGATCCAGGCATCGCTCTTGCGGAGGATCCTGACGATCTCAAAGCGAGAGTCGCGGTAGAGGCTGGCTTGTTTCTCCCGGCTGAGTTCTGGCCACGGGTCTGGCCCCTTTTCCGCAAGGAAAATGCACTGAGAGCGGCGACAGTCCCTAGCCCAGTCACGAGCCCCGTGATGCTGAGGCGCTTCCCAGCCTTGGGGAAAAGCTGAGTGCGGTCAGCAGTATAGCAGTAGAGTACCACGACGGAAATCACACCGAGGGCCTGGCGAAGATGGCCGTCCGATGACGAGAGGCCCCGCGAGAGCGAGGCGCCACGCAAGGCGAGCAGTAAGCTAAAGGCAACCGGCAGGGCGGAAATGGCGAGGATGAAGAGAGTCAGGCGCTGGCCACGGGCCAGGGTGGGATACGAGACACAGCACGTCTCGCGATTTACGTGGGGCTGCCGGCGTACGAGTCCCTGGTTGCAACGCAGATTGAGGGCAATATCGATCTTGCGCTCGGTCAAGGCCTCCCTGACATGCAAGCCCGTGTCTTCGAAGGCGCGGCGGGTGCCAGGACGCGTCATTTGGTTGTATGCGAAGACGACACGCGAGGACGCGGGGCGCGGCAGCGACGCGAGGTAGCCGTTCATCTCTCTGATCTTGGAGGGGGTCAGGACTTCGGCGCGAGCGGGGGACAGCTTCCTGTAGCGGGGCACTTGCACGGGAGCTATCAGGACATGATTCTTGAGGTCTCGGTAGCTGACATCCGGGCTAGCGCTCGCAGGTTCGATGGGGTCCGCCAGATAGGGTCTGACGGTGTCGATGCCGCGCTGGAACAGGTCCAGATAGTCATCCCCACCGTTGCGGGCAGCCCACAGCCCGGGGGCACCAACCATCAGCAGCGCAGCGGAGCCGGACGAGTCTCCGCCGGGCCCCGGGCGGAAGTCGCCTAGTTCCTGGGCGAGACCTGTCGAGTTGAGCCAAGGATCATAGATGAAGATAAATCGGACGCCGTGGATAGCCACGTCGATGTCGTGCCGGGGGTTGTCTGAGACGAAGGCGCGCATCCGTTCCTCGTCGGCGCGGACAGGATCGAGGCGTTTGGCGGCGGCCAGGAAGAGCTGGCGCATGGTGGAATCCCCAACGAAGACGAGACGGCGGCCGGCGAGACAGTCACTAAAGTCGTCGCGCGAGTACTCGTGCATGCGGCAGCCGCGGGGCTCCCAGCGGTCGAACCAGTCCCGCCAGCTGGCCAAGGTGTCGTGGGCGGGCCACGAGCCATGCGAAAGAAGGGCGCCACATCGTTGAGGATCGGCGTGGCCGCCGAGTAGAAAGTGCGCCGTCACGGTGAGAGCTAGCACGAAGAGACAGGCGCGCGCCAGCGCTTCAAAACACGAGGCGGCGCTGCGACTGGCAACGCGGGCTGGCGTCCATCGTGACAAGCTCATAGGGCTGGCGGCGACGGCGACGGGGATGTGGACTTCTGGAATAGTGCCTGGGCAAAGCAGAATTGACCCCAATGTTAGTCGCTGCCATGGTGATGGCGCATGCGGGAGCGCTCCGAACACTGGGCTTGAAACATACACGGCTGCTAGTCCGTGCCAAGTAGGGAATGTCCAACCAAGGCAGAAAAGAGCCTACCTAACCAAGCAGGTATGCAGATCCCTCTCGCGCCGGAGCACGTGCATGCGATGAATCGGGCTATATCGGGGCGCGATGGATTGGGTTAGCTGGTCGAGAGAGGGCGTGACTTTTTTTTTTTTTTTTTTTTTTTGCTGACTACGCTACTCACGCTTTCCGGTTTCGGTGGTCGTCTTTCACTTCCCCCTTGGTCATCTCCTTTCAGCTCGGCCGTACAGAAAGGGCGAAAGGAAACAGGCCCTGGAAGGCTTGGTAAGGGACAGGCTATCAAGTAGGTACCTAGGTGGGCAGGTGCATGTATCTCGTCGACTTTCGTTGCGTATCAAAAGTGCGCGATGTCTTTAAGGTGTCCGGGTAGCAAAACGCCAGTCGCGCCCCATCCTAGGCTGCCCCTGGGAGCGTTCTTGTCGCCCAGAAGCCACAGCGAGATTCGGTCTGCGGCGTGCCATTCCTTTTGTAAGAGAAGGGGCATTCCCGCCGGACGGCATGTGGGCGGGTAGGACGGTCTCTGTTTGGGCCCGGTGCTCCACGGTCTTTCTTGGCGGTCGGCGCTAGCTCAGCGTGGTAGGCTGCAAGCCAAGAAGGAGCCACGGCCGTTATCTTGGGGCGGACCCAGAAGGGGCGGGATCTGCTGTCAGATGTGCACGTGACAGCGCTGGGCGGACGAGGCTCGGGGGCTCCTCGTGCGACTTTGTATGGGCACAACCGTGTTGTTGGGCGGCTTGCCAGAGCCGTGATGCCGTCTTGGCATTCGACTTGACCGGGCGGCCACTCTGCTTCCGGCTGCATCGTCTAATAATGACCTCACCCCACAGCAGTGGCTGTCGCCTCAATTGCTCCGAGCCCCAGCTCTCGAGGGGAGGCTGCTAAAAGTAGCATATCATCGAAGCTTCGGATTTTATGGCTGCCTCCAATCCCAACGGGGTTGGGCAACTGTGATGGATGCCCGCGAAAGTGTCCCAGAGGGTGCGATGGCACGTGCTCTGTGGATAAATATGGGCCACCCCGTCCTAAAAGTCCGAGCGCGACGTGAGGCTGCTTCCTTTTGACCAAGCTTATTTGCACCTCGCGAATTCTGCGAGCTTTTCTCACTCCAATCTCGAAGCAAAATTTTGCGCGCTTCCTTGGCTCAATCCCTCGCCAGTCTCAACTTTCTTTCTACCCCCGTGGTACCTCTGGCCGGCGATATCTGTTGATCGAAACTTCCTGCTGTGTGTACATGCATACAGATGATCAGGTACACTGTCGTATTGCAGCCAAGGTACGAGAGAGAAGTGGGAGTGCTGGAAGACGACGGGTCGCCAGTGCCCCCCTGCCTACGTAGAGACAACGATCTTAGTGACCATATCCGTCGACTCCTCGGTACTCGGCCAGCCATTCACTTCCACTGGCTGGTCTTGAGCCAGGTTGCCTCGTGCAGGAAGACGGAGAGTATTTGCAATGCTTTTTGAGTACGGGACCTCTCATCAACCGACTTTGTTGGGATGGTGCACATGGAGAACTCTCGTAATTTATCTGTTGCTACACACCTATCTGTCGGTAGCTTCTCTTCCCCTTCTCTTCTGCTAGGGTGATTTATCGTAGTCCCCCGCCGTCTGGCATCCTAACCGCGGTGCCCATGCCCTGGCAGCCTGCAACTTTTCTCGTGCGCCCTCTCCCTCACTCTCTCGCTTCCTTCACCTCTTTCGCCTTTCGCGGGCCACACCAACGGCGGACGAAAGCTATGAGCGAATAAGGCAATAAGGGGGAGGGGAGAAAAAAAGGAGAAGCTCCGGGGATGATGGGCAAGGGATAAAGTAAGATGGGCAGAATGTGTAACTCCCCAACTCTAGAATAACTCCCCAACTCTAGAACAGAATCCAAATGCAAGACCTTTTTTGCACCTAGGAACCCATCAAACTACTTGGGTATCTCACTAGAAAATCACTGCACTTGATCTTCTGCTTCCCCTGATCATTCCCGCCATCGCACCCTTACCGGAAAGCCGAATATCAGGCGGGATGGCAGCTGGGTTGGTAGAGCACATCTGACGATATACCTCTCTCAGCCAAATCGGAGACAACAAAAGAGGAGAAATCAAATGGGGAGAAAAGGGAGGCAGGTGACAAAAGTAGCAAGCCAAGGGCTTAAGACGAGTGGAATCAAGAAAGTGAGCTGATTGCCCGAGATCTAGTACTCCACTTCGTCTTCGTCATAGTCGGCCTATCAGGAGATGGCCGAGTTAGCAGGGAAAAAGAAAAGATGATGGGATGGCCTTTGGCAGATCGGTGAATGGGCGGATCGACGACGGAGACTACAGCGTACCTCCTTATCCTGCTTCAAGGCACTGTTTAGCAGAGCGTGCAGGTTTGCAAGCTCTTCGTTCGTACGACGGAAGCTGACGCGGGTGCCACAGTGGACGGCACTAACTTTGCTGTAGCCACGCAGCTCGACAAGCTCATCGATGCCAAGTGCGTCAGTCAGGCGCGCGCGAACGCCAGACTGGGTGAAGAATTTGCCAAAGAATTGCTGCCTCTTCGTCAGCCAGCGCGTGGTCGCCATCGATGGCATCACCGTCAGGCTCGTCAAGTTCAGGCAGCGCTTCAGCAACTTGAAGGCCGTAACGGCTCGAGGGCCGCACCAGTGGAACTTGATACTCCCCACGTTGCGCCTCAGTGCGTCGTTTGTGCTCAGGTAGTGCTCCATCTCGCATGTGCAGTTGAAGAAGAACAGTCGATCTCGGTAGAACGCGGTCATGAACTCCTGACGGACCGTCGAGGAGACGAGTGCGAGGGCTAGCTCGTCACTCTTCCACCTGTGTAGCCACGAGTCCCATCGTCAGTTACATACTTGACGCCGCCGTCGTGAGAACGGGGTAAGGCCTGCGTTTTCATCTCTCTTTTCTTTGCATAGTGTCGACAGGGGTCAGGGCCTAGACATGATGGCCACCGAAACGTACGTCTTTCTCTGCCAGCTGTTTGGTACCTCGTGGCTACACGCGCAGTTCGTCTTCTTGTCTGCCGGGTACATAGCCTTGGTCTTGCCGTAGAATCCCGCTTTGGGGAGATAGTGACGGTAGATCATACCTCGAATCTCCGGAGGGAACTTCATGAAAGGAAGCATCGTCTCGGCGTTGGTGTCTACGCGATGTTTAGCATGCGGCCACGAATCATGTGGCTTGGAGCCAGCGCATAGCTATCAAGGAGCACCCACCGGCGATTTGCAAGATCTTGGTGAGTAGTCGGATCAAAGTAGCACCCGCCTCGGCGTCTTGTGGGTTTTGCGCGATGGATATGGCAATGCTCGATATTGTCTCCGATATGACATGCCGATAAGCAGGCGACTGTCGGATCATGCGACCTAGCTCAGAGTCATCAACGCGGCCAACCTGGACGTCGTCAACGATCTTGAGGAGCTTCTTGGCTTGCGGCGAAAGAGCGAACTTGACGTGGAGGTTCTTTGTTCGCTGATCGTAGTAGGAGATCTCGGTCATCTTGCCGGTTCCTACCGTTTGTGTCGGGTGGGAGCTCTGGGAGAATCGCTGGCTACCGGGTAGGTCGGTAGGTTGGTAGAACGAACAAGCATCAGGTTAGCCACACGAGTGATCTAGTCTTTGCCGATCTCTGGGCTGATTGAGCCACTGGCCCTAGTTGCAAGTGGATTATGGCTACCAGGAGAAGGAGGGAATGGAATCGGTGCCTTGAGCAGATGGAGGGGAATCTGTCTCCCAGCGGGGTTGAGGGCGGGGGCTAGATGAAGAAGGCCGTGGGAACAAACCCTGAGGATTCGGGAGATAGGAGCTGCCGACCGCAGCCCGACGGCGCATTGAGGCTTCAGTTGGGAGAGTGTGTCGGCCAGTCGTCTTTAGCGTGCGTAGTGGAAGGACCGCTGCGTGGAGCGGGGCGGGGGATCTCCAGGAAAGACATCTCGGAACGGGTGGAGTCGCAGTCTGGGGAGGCAAATAAACAATCCTCAGTGGTGTGGATAGACGGGGAGCTTGGCCTGGTGTGATAAGCTGGACTGGTTGGATCCGAGCCACCACCTTGGCCAGCTGTGAATAGCCTCAGCCTCAGGCGCCACAACCAGAGCGCACTGTGCCAGCCCGGGGGCAGGCGCCACTTATCTGGTGCCCACAGGTAGGTGCCCGGATGTGTCCTCGGCTGTTGTCTGCGGTGCTCGCAGAAAGAGGAAGGCTCGATGGAGGAAGGAGCTCGACCCCACCACACGAAGGCTCCGAAACCTCTGGCAGAGTAGTGGATGCCGAGGCGAGGAAGGCTCGAGCGAGGAGTGTGGACCCAGGCTCATACAGGCGGGAAACTGGAAAGCGCCTGTTGAGAGTGGGTTCGGCGAATGCCACAAGTCGTCCCTGGGTTGCCAATATATATGTTTCCTCGCCTCCTGTGACCTTCCTAGGCCATGGAAGGTATCTTCTTGCCAAGATAACTAGTGGGATAGAAACCGCGCTTCCTACAAGGCAGTCGTTAGCAGGGCAGGTAAAAAGGTTCCTTCGGGGTCCTCCTGAGTCCCCTTCATATGTGGTCTTGGCTAGCGTTAACAAACACGAGCATTCAAAGACACTGAACAACGGTCTAACCAGTAGGCAGTGGGTGATTGAAGAAATATATTGGGCACACCACAATCGCCGGAGTAGAGTTACGAAACACCGAGGTACAGACCAACAAGTGGCCATGCCGGTAACAGAACCTGGACAAGAACAGATGGGAGGCAACTGAGCGGACGGGAAAGGTCAAGTCTGCATGGGAGAGTGTGCACCCGTCCCGCAGTTTTTCATAAACTACATGTAACAAGTCTCGGTTGTGGATCATGTATCAAGCAACACCGAAGCGCTATATCCAATAGAGATCGCAGGATAGGATGCTATCCAAGGTTCTGTAGCCCAGTAAAACGAACGCCGCCGCTATGTGAGTTTGCCAAGAAGAGGAGGGATTACAACGAAAAGAGTAAAAAGCAAAGGGCGTGAAATCAACGATGACAAAGGAAGAGGATATATCCTGCAAGGCTACCCTTCTCTTCGCACCAAGGCTCGTTTCCGTCTGTTCCAAGACCGAGAGAAGAGGCTGCAACAGGCCGGCTACTGCCATCAACTAGCTGGCGTAGTCCAGTTCTATTCCTGCCTAGAACATGAACACCGCAGCGGCCATAAAGGCAACGAGGGCGCCGGTCCCCATGCTGAGGCGCGTCTTGGACTGGTTGCCCTCGCTCTTGCCGTTGGCGCCGCCGGCGGCAGACGCGGCCTTGCGACCTGTCGGGGTGATGGAGTTCATGGCGTCGGCCGTGTCGACGGCGGGGCCCTTGTCAAAGAAGTCAACGAGCACAAACGTCGGCCTGATGCCCCATTCCTTCCTGCAGGTCGCCGCGTGGAGCCCCAGGGCGCCGGCCTTGGCGGTGTCAGGCGAGTTGGTGGTATCGATGTCGCTGACGGCAGGGATCTGGATCGAGGACGAGAGGCTGGCGTACTTGAAGTGGTTCATCAGCGGCATCATATTGCGCGAGATGGCCGAGGCGGCCGTGCCCGCCGACCCCGGCCGGCTGAGGCTGCAGTTGAAGCCCGTGGCTGTGGTGACGAGGAACTCAGTCTCGAACACGTAGGTGAACTCGCTTAGCAGGTACGGGTACGTTGGGTTTGGCGTGATGGAGGCGATGAAGGAGACGAGGCGGGTGTTGGCGCTGATCATAGACTGGAGCGTCGGCCAGTTGCCGGTTGCCGAGGCCGAGGCTTGGACGAAGCCATATTTGGAGATGCCCGACTTCTCGTAGGCAACTCCAAAGGTGGCGGCGTCGGCGTTGTCCGAGTTGACGAGAAGCAACGTCACCACCTCGTTCGGGTTGCTATCCATCCAGAACTTGATAGCAGCCAACCAATCCGACAGCAGCCCGGCATCGAGGATTGAGCAGGCGGTATGGCAGAGCTTCAGGGCGCCATTCTCTACATGGATCTGCGCCTGGAGAAGCCTGAGCCCGGCCGAGAGGGCGATGGTGGCGTTCAGGAACTGGTTGCCTGCCAACGAGTTTCCCGTCGAGGCGTCTCTCAGGAATGAGCTGTCGTGGCCCCCCATGTGAGTTATGGTGTTGTAGGCCCGGCTGCAGAGCTCTGGCGAGTTATTACAAGCCGTCGATGCTTGTCTGGCGTCTATTCCAGACGGGCTCGCCAGGACTGCCGCCGAGAAGGCCAGGGCTGCCGCCAGAGAGGACCGCAGCGAAGAAACCATCATCGTGGTTTGTCCTTGCCACAGCCTGTTTTGGTCCTTGATTACTGTCGATGCGCGACAGAGAGCGTGTTGGCTGGATTATATCTGCTTCTCCTCGTTTGTCTTGCTTCTTTTCCTAACAGCAATGGGTGCAAAGGAGCAAACGATGGGATGACCAATGTCGAAACAGGCGAGCGAAGAGCCTGGCAGATCTCAAGGAAAGGCCCGTGTGCACCCAGGCAGGTCATAGAGGGAATGGGACAGGGTAACAAATCGGTAGTCAAATCCGGCCAACCCAGTTCCAGACTTTGTGGCGTTCAAGGGCGGAATGAAAAGGCGATGGGGAGAATGGAAGGTTGAGGAAGATTGGAAAAGAGGACGTGACGCTATGTTGAATCAGAGCAAGGAGGAAGCAGGGAAATCAAAAACACACAGCCAAGACCGAGGCGTGGTCTAGAATGTGCAACACAGGGCATAAGAGCAGAGGCAGAACCTCAAACATGGCAGCCCTGGGATTTTCAGGGGTACCCTCAAAGAGCCGGCTTGGGAGGGTTGCGTCCCACTGGGTCGGGGCCGGTAGAGGATCCGCACCTGCGCGACTGCTCAATGTGCTGCGCCTCGCGCGACACATTAGCGGCAAGCCGTGCTGGGCCCTGCTAGTGCGCCCCGCTATTGAAGGCCAGCGACGCTACTGTGCACCCACCTCGCCGAGTTGGCCACTAGCCGACCGTCTGGCACCACGTCGAGCGGGGTTCCTGGGCTGTTTCGGGCCGGCGCCAGGCGATCCTCGGCACTCGCAAAAAGACAAACAATTCGAGGGCCCCGGGACGCGGAACCGTGGGTGCGATGGCAGAAGGAAAAGTGGCGTGGAATCAAAATCCCCTAGCCGTGCAGGGCATGTGGAATGAGCGACGCGGGATCCACCCCTCCCGCCGGCTAGACTAGGGACGTCTGCAAATCACTGCAAGTTGGACGACCTTCGAGTCCCCCCCCCCCCCGTCCCTCACAAGGGTGATCCCTTTTTTTGTCTTCTTGCGCCAACGCAGCTGACGGCAGCAGCAAGCGTGGCAAGTAAACGCGCGTTGTCGGACAGCCCCTTCACAAACGAGTAGTCAGCTCAGACAAGGTGGAAGCTTAAAAAATTTCCCAATTAGGCTAGACGACCCATTTTTTCTCCCACCTTGGCTGAGGTGTTTTTGAATTGCGTATGCAACGCATATGCAATTAGTAATTTTTAAAAAAGCAATAAAAACGTATAAAAATAAACATAATAAAGTATAATAAAATATTATATAAATAAATAAAAAGCAAGTAATTATATTAAAAGCTTTATTTAATTTTAAATAATTTAATTTAATTTAATAATTTGTATGTATTTATACGCTGTTATGTCTATGGAAGAGACTTCAGTGCTGCGGCTAAGTACATGCAAATGGGGGAAAACCTTTGGGTTGGGCCTAAAGAGGAAAAACCCTATGCCTGCGTTCCCGCCTCTCTGGCGGTGCGCCTCCGTGGCGGTGTTGAACCGCTTTGGCTAACGCTTACTTTTCTCCACGCTCGACTGCTCGTAAGGGCTCCACCCGGGAATCAACCGTCCTCCCGCGTGCAGCCCCCTTTGCAAGGGGCCGACAAGGCCGCGTCCTGCTTGCCTGTGGTTGGTTGGTTGGTTGCCTCGTTATGTAATTTGCTAGGGCTTGCCGGGCCCTAATCGTTATCGCTTCGGGGTTCGAATTGCCAACCTTATTTTGCTTGCCCAAGTGGTCCAGGGCACTTGGGAACCCTTCCCTTATCCCCCCCTTTCCTTATTTTTTTGCTTCCTTCCTTTACTGGCCCGCTATCGACGTTTCCCTATTCGGTGCACCACGTGCGTTATCTTTCTTTTGTTTTGTGCCCCAAAGGGCCCCAACCTTTAGTGGCACGTGCAGGGTAGTGACCTTGCCAAGCACGTAAAGGGTGCATTCGAAATCGGATCAGTGGTGGTAGCGGACGGGTGCAAAGCGGTGGCGCAAAGGTAAAGGAGGTGGGGGGGGGGCTGCTATCGAAATCGATAAGGTTGTTGTAATTGTATCGGTTATTTATCGGCGTTGTTAATATTGGTTGATTTGGCTTATCAGCCCTTATCGGATTTCGATCCTGGCAGGCCAGGGGCTTTAAGGACAAAAAGTCTTTGTGGTTTCGACGGGATTCGAACCCGTGGTCCTGGCGGGACCGGCCTGGTGCGAAGCCACTGCACCACGAAGCTGTTAGGAGCACGGGCGAAACCGCCCGGCAGAAAGCGGGAAGCGTTAAATGCACGGGCGAGACCGCC